GGATCTGTTCCATTTATTTGACACATCCACATCTCTGTACATCACAATTAAAGGCAGCAGTGCAGTCAACAGCACTGGGGACGCAGCTCAGGGGGCCTGCTCTCATCCAAGAAAGGGAGCCGTCTGAGGTCATGGGGCAGCGGAGGTCCATCGCTGGTTTGCTGTCTGTCAACCAGATAGGTGCTTTCTACACCCACTGCCTCACCCAAGTGTCAGGTCACAAACGGAGACCTCCTCGAACCTCCACCTCCAAGTTCTATGCAGTGAAAAAGAGCAGTGCAGGCATCTTCTCTCAGGCGCAAAAACCTGGCAGGGGCTGGGGTCCAGAGATGTGATTCAGGGAAGTCCCCTGGCCAAAGTGGCACTCTCTCTAAACCTCAGGCAAGCACCTCTCTTCTCCACCCTAAGTTTAGGCCTAAATCCCCTCCAAAAACCTTTGACCACCTATAGAGCCAGCACTAACGAAATTGCACAACGGTGGGACAATAACCACAAGGTCAGATTCAAATCGTTGCCACAAGGGGGTTCTCTTCGGGTGTTAGAGATTCAGGAGCCCAGAACTCAGCTCCACAGCCCACTAAGCTAAGAAGTTCGAAGATTTGAGACAGGACTTCCTTTCCTCTCTTGACGTCCCTTAGCACAGAAGAGGCACCACCTCTAGATTTAATCCTGAATTTACTTTGGGGTTTGCCAGCAGTATTCTGAAATAACTTTAGAACCTCACCTGTCCTCCTCCTTTGGGAGTGTGATCTTGGGTGAAGAAAACCCCACGAATGTCCCTGGCCTGCTCCCTTTCAGGGGCACTGAGGGCAGCCATTCACTCCAGAGGACTTAAAAGGAGCACTCGGCAGGAATTCAGGTGGGGTTTTCTGGAGGGGGGCCTGTTAGGAACAACCTGGCCCTGTCCTTGCAGTCAGTTCTCTGACACCTGAGCTGGCCTTCCACGGCTGGCTGTGGCCCCAACAGTCAGAAGGGACCCCGCCTAGCTCCTGCCACAGGACACTAGGTCCTGCCTGTTGGCAGCTGGGGCCACAGCAGGAAATGAGAATTCTGGGTGAAAATAGACATGTGTCTACTCCTCACTGAGTAGATAGATAGCAGACACATTATCATGGATGGAAATTGTTTCAAATGTCAGAAATACACGGGAAAAACCCGTGATGGCTTTTCTCTCCTAGTGGGCTACTAAATCCAGCTGATAAACAGCTTTTAGTGGAGGCTTCATAGCTAAAGGGTCCCATAAGGATACTTAAACCAAAGGAAGTGTTTTTTTTCTTACTACGATCTTTTAGAATAGGAGTTGGCAAACTATGTATGGTCTATGGGCCAATTCCAGCCTACCACCTGTGTTTGTACAGCTTGGCAAATGAAGAACAATTTTTACAGATGAACATCTGCAAATGATCTGATAATAGGGCAGTAACTTTGAACTCAATTAAGCAAAATGTTATTAACAAAAAAATCCGTTCTTACTATAGGCCTGTAACATTACAAAAAATAGTACTCAATTACTGTATTCTGAATTCCATTAGAAACTGGTGTAAATTTTTCTTCTCTTGTTATATACATACTTACACAATAGCCTCAACTTTGCCTCTGGGCCCACAAGGCCTAGATATTTGCTGATTTAAGCCCTTTATAGACAAAGTCTGCTGACCCCTGCTTTAGGACAATTAATCACAAAACATTCAGAACATTAAATTCTGTTCCTAAATTAACATGCCAAGAGGAAGAAGAGCAGAGCCTCTTAAATATTAATGCACACTTTTTTTTTTTATTATATTAAAATCAGGCAATGGTCTGACAATAAAAAGGCTGCTTATGGAATACTGTTATGTTAAACTTTACTTACAGGATGTTAAATCCTTAGAACTAAGGTTTTCCCCAGAAAAAAGATTAATGGGAACATCAATTGCTTTTCAGACTTGATAGTTGCTGCTTCAAAGGTGCTCTACACAAATTAAAAATACTAAATTAAAAAAGCAAAAACAAAAAATAAAACCTGTAGAACACAATGAATTGCTTTTATTTCGGTATGCATCCACATTTCAGCATTTAGTGGTCCTGAACAGAAAAGTGGAAAAACGCAGCAATTTGCCAGGAGGTCAAGCCCGCCCATTTCGGGGATCTGCCGCGCACACCGAGTTCTTTCTTAATCCCTGCTGAGGATCGTGAGAAGCAGCAGCACCAAAACCAAAGTATGCACCGAATTCAAGGTTCTTTTTGTTCCAGTTGTCAGACTCCAAACTAGACCCAAATGGATTGCAAGGATGACCAAATGAAAGCCCTGTTTGTTTAAAATTTCTTCCATTTTAAAAAGCAAAGCAATTACAGGAAAAGAAAACATTCAGAGGGATCGTGTGTGCTTACAGGTGTCTTCCTGTGGCCTTTCTCCAAGTTTAACCATCAAAGACTTCAAGCTGACAGGTCTGAGTAACCCTGGTGACTGTTCTTGTCACCATATCAAAACCTGAGCTAAAACAACGCATCAGCTGATGGTGACAGCAGAGGGTGGCAGGGCTGAGGACTCCATATTCATGTCCCAGGCTGGTGGAGAATAAATCAATGTGGTTACAAAACTAAATGAGGGAGGTCAGAGACTCTTTCCAGCCTTGCCTGATGGCTTCTGGCCAAAGCAAGGAAGTGTCATGGACAGTGTGGGGTGGTGACGGTGCAGGAAGGGACTTTGGGAGGAGGAAGGAAGAAGCAGCACCCCTCGATCAGGTGTGGGGAGAGAAGATATGGGGAAAGCCCTGAATTCCTCAGCAAAGGCCAATTTCAGAGGGGAGCAGAGGGGATTACAATCTAGGCTTCGGCCAAGGGTGGCAGTGGAAGAGTGGGGAAGGACGATGGCTTGGAATGGGGGGCATTACTTAAGCACCCCACACACCCAGCAGTAGTCCCATAGGCTGCGACCTGAAACCTTCACATCTATTCTAATAAGCCACCCCAAACTGGAGGGCTGTTGCAGGGAGACAGGGATGAAGGCGAGGGGAGGGGAAAGGGGAGAAGGCAGAGACCCCAGGCCATGTAATCAGCAGCAAGGTGATTGTGTGATGTGTCTTTTCACAGTTGAGTTAGATGTGCCCCACCAGTTATGATGGGAATCAATTTAAATATACTTTCTTGATCCCAGGAGTTCAACTACATGGACAGTGGTTACACTTGACAGGATGATTTGTTATAGCACAACTTATATATTTCAAATGGACAAAAAATTAATATCATTTACAGTATCTTAAGATAAACTGACTTTGAATGGAGGTTCCTTTCCAGTACTTTGAGGTCTACAAGACGTATCTAGAAAATTTACTACCGTGGAAAATGAAGACTGCTTAAATCGAATGGGGGGGGGGAGGGGAGGGCCTGTGGTTTTTCTTGTTGATTAATTACTGTAACACTGTCCTTCAGGCGGTTGGGGGAGTTTCATATTTTCTTTCGACATCATTAGGCGCCGAAGCTCTTGCAGGACAACTTTGATGCTATATGAATTCTGCCATTTTGCTAGCACTGATATGGCTCTTGGGTCCACCTACAAAACAATACAAGAACAAGTAACCGTCAGGCTCTCAAACAAAAGAAGAGCGGCCTACTGGGGTTAAGCTACAGTACAAACTTGAGTCAAACGCATCTGTTCAAGTCTAACATGCAGAATCCCTGCATATACCCTCCCTCTAGTCATCCTGTTTTCTCCCTTTTGTCCCCCAAATCCTCACTGTTCGGGAAAAGTCAAGTCACTTTTAGAATCCTAGAGGGATGGTCCTGACACTTGGTAAGACTTAACCCATCTCAATCTGGCTCGAAAACAATGACCTGCTCCCCGATCAGCTGCTGCCCCTGGCCGACGATAAAGATATGCAGGTAGGGGGCGAGGGAGCCAAGGCACGGGGTGGCCGGGACCCACACTGTATGACAGGGCCTGCACTGAGCCACATTCTCTCAGGTTAGTGCAGCATTTCCAAAGCCTGAGTCATGTTCTGGGTTCCTGACTTTAGGCGGCGCTCAACACCACAGAACACAGTGATGAGGCTCGGCTCTTCTGAACATCTCAAAGACAAAGGCTCAGTGTGACGCCATTGTGTGTTATCACCCCTTTAACAATCGCTAGAAGGAACCCTGGTGGCACAACAGTTAAGTGCTGCTAACCAAAAAGGTCAGAGGTTTGAACCCACCAGCTGCTCTGCTAGAGAAAAATGTGGCAGTCTGCTTCTGTAAAGATTTACAGCCTAGGAAACCCTATGGAGCAGTTCTACTCTGTCCTGTTGGGTCACTGTGAGTCAGAATCGACGGCACACACTTGTTACTCTCCCTTTTGAACAAGAAAGAAGTAGGCCTTAGGCTGAAAGCCTCTGGCAAGCAACACAGGGAGTAAGAATTTCTTGTTTGTTTTTATAACATTTATCATTGCCTTCTTATGACAAGTGATACTGGTTTTCTATTTACGGTAGCGAAAATAAGTTTAAAAGGGAAGGCCATTAAAGGAAAAGATATTATGTACCAGTGGTACACAAATAAGGCCGAGGAGGTAAAGGTGACTAACACTAGTTGGCTGCGTGACCTCGGGCGGTCCGGAGTAAGTGCTGTCTGAGTGATGGTTAAATATAATTAGCAAACAGGTCTATACCTCAAATCTGCTAACATCCATACTGTGATATATTTTATTATCAAATAACCAATAAACATATATATGTGATCAGGCCCAGTGAAAGTACCCCTGATGTTAAAAGTACAAAGCAATTCTCAACCCCAAGGAACAAGTGGAGCCAGAAAAAACAACTTACCACTCCATTAGAACTATTAACTCCATTCATATTAATTTTTGTTACAAATCTTACAAAGGGGGGTGCTTCTGGGTATTTAGGTCCACATTCTATTTTAAGGCTGTATATCCGGTTTTCATAAATTGTCTGAGGAAAAAAAAGGGTACAGAGATGTTAGGCAAAGGTTGGACTCCCAATTACAAAGAATTCATAAAGGTACAATTTCAGAAACCCCATTTATTCCTGACTGCAGAACTGGTGTGTCTGCTTCCATTATACAAACTTGCTTGCTATTGACGAGTTATCATTAACTAGTTCTTACACTAGTTTATGTGAATTCTGGGCTTTGGGGGAATAAAGAAAAGACAGAAAATTTTAAGCTAGTATCCCTAAAGGGTCTTGTGTGGCAAGTTACTGCTTCTGTGCAGACAGTGACATCTAGTGGTCTTTGGCAGAATAAATTGCAGAGAATGTGATTGAAAACATTGTTTAAACAGGGGCCTGTCCCCAACAAAAAGCTGAAATACATTTTAAGATTCACAAGGCATTCGTGAATACCCATAGAAACTTCTACTACCTACTTAACAGGAAACCCAAACTATAACAACCAAAACTCATCTCTGGATTTCCACCCACCCTCAACCTGCTCCTCCCCAGTAAGTGGCACCACCACCTACTCAGTTGGTTAAAACAAAAATCCAGAGGACAGCCATGATTCCTCTTCCCTCACCTCCAATCTTCCAACCATCAGAAGGTCCCATTGCTCCTACCTCCAAGAAAGCTCACATCCACCCAATTTCCTCTATCTCTTCAACTTCCAACCTCATCAGTGCCAGCCACCCCAGTCACCTCACCTGAACCACAGCAAGTCTCTCTCTCTTGCTCCGCTACAGTCTGCTCTCCACACAGCAGCCTGATTGGAAACTCTGCCAGCTGACTCCCTTGTTCAAGCTTAACCCCTCCAACGGCTTCCTGGTAACCTGAGAACGAAGCCTAAGTTCCCAGATCTGACCCTGTCAACCCCTGACTTCTCCTGTTCTCCTCCCTTCCACGTTCAGCCTGTCTGGGCTCCTTAATTCTCCTCAAACACGCCAAGACACGAGCTGCTCCCCACGCCCTGCAGCAATCTGGCTCAAACACACACCCTCTCAAAGAAGTCCAGCTGACAAGTATTAGTCCCCTCTCACGAAACACAAAACAAGGAGGGCAGAGGCCACAACAGGGCCCTCAACACAACTAGCAATCAAAAGTTTGTTGAATGGATGAATATTACTCTTTACAATTTTATAAAACGAACACCTAGCTGCAATTAAGGTGTTTCCTCAGAGAAAAAAATTCACCCAGTAAACAGAACAAGTAGGAAACAAACAAGGGCATGATTTACATACAGATTTATGGACAATATTACAAAAGGTCTATCTTTAGCACCTAGCACAGTCTCTACCAACTTCTACATACTTAATATATATCTGCTGAATGACGGGCCCCACATTCATCTCTCTGGCTGTGTCCAGCATTCATGCTCAATGATTTTGTCACAGAATTTCTTATATAAAAAAGCCAGGCATAATTTCCCTTTTTTGGGACATAGGATTGTGGTAATTATTAAAGTCACAAAGTCTTTCAAAATCTTTGATACCACATTTTGGAGGCTCTGACATACCAATTTATTCATCTGTCAGTATGTCATGCAGCTTATCTTTGTTGGTTTAAGATTTCACTGATCATTCTATTAACAATAGTGTCAAAATGATTAAGAAGGTGAGTGATTTATTACATACACTAAATCTAAACAATACTCAGCACCATAAAGTCAAATTAAAAACATCTACACTCTGACCAATTAAACAGAAAAAAGAAATGTCGGGAATTTCTGACCACTATGTTCAACTGCCAGGTTCATGGGCACACAGTAAAAAAATGTGTTAAGTGATCTGACAGACACCTGAAGGGTCACTAAAAAGTCCATAACAAGACCTTCTTTTGTAGAAAACAGGGTTTCTGGTTTTTCTCTTCTATTTTGTTCAGGAGTGCTCCAGGGACCTGCTAAAAAGGTTTCAGTGAAGAAAGGAAATGTGCCTGCAGGAGAATTGCTGGAATATTCTGTCTCTGTGAGGAATACTGCTCTTAAGATTCATTATTTGATCATGAAACAAACGTTTTCCACTCTGTTGATGTGGCTTAGACTTTGTGGGGCAATTTGGCAGTGCCTATCAAATGCACCACAGGTGTGCTTAGACCAGCAAGTCCATTTCTTGGAATTTCCTTCAGACAGACTCATATTTGTGTATAAAAGTGTGAAGCATTGTCCGCAATAGCAAAAATAATTGTAAACAACCTAAATATCTACCTGCAAGGGACTGGGTAAATAAAACATTCATATAACCCGGAAACTCTGCAGCCTTTTCAAAAGCTGAGGCCCAACTACACACACCCACACCCACACCCACCCACAAGCCTGCCAAGACTGCTCTTGGTAAAGCAGTCAAGTTGCAGAATCTGTTGCAAAAGACCTCTTTAAAGTGTTAAACAGCAAAGATGTCACTTTAAAGACTAAGGTGCGCGTGACCCAAGCTATGGTATTTGCAATCGCCTCATATGCGTGTGAAAGCTGGACAATAAATGTATAAGGAAGACCAAAGAACTGATGCCTCTGAATTATGGTGTTAGTGAAGAACTACTGAATATACCATGGACTACCAGAAGAATGCACAAATCTGACTTGGAAGAAGTATAGCCAAAATGCTCCTTAGAAGGAATGATGGCAAGACTTCATCTCACTCACTTTGGACATGTTATCAGGAGGGACCAGTCTCTGGAGGACATCAGGCTTGGTAAAGTAGAGGGTCAGCAAAATAGAGGAAGACCTTCAATGAGATGGACTGACAGTGGCTGCAACAATGGGCTCAAGCACAGCAACCATTGTGAGGACGGCGCAGGACCAGGCAGTGTTTCATTCTGTTGTGCATAGGGTCGCTGTGAGTCAGAACCGACTCGACGGCACCTAACAACAACATCCCATTTCTATAAAGGGCAGGCACCTTCCTCCAACCCTGGGGATATTGATGTACACACAGGCTGTTTCATCTATTAGGTACTACAGGCCCAGGGTCCAGAGATCACAAGCTTTTTTCCTGGGCCTAAAAATACATGAGACAAAGGAAAAATGTAGTTTGCAGAGTCCCAGCCCCAGCATCCAAAGCAAGGTATAGAAAGGTGGATTTGGAGCTTAATCCCCAGCATAGTCTACTCCTCTGCCTACTCAGCATCTGTACACACCCTTCTACACACATTCCAACTTACAACAGTAGTACCTTTTGCTTCTACCTGACAAGATGCAACCATCCTTCATACAGACAGACACTTTCCCTCTTCCTACCAGTCGTGGTAGCCCTCTGAGTGAGCCGTAGTACCCATCTCTAGGCAATATTAATAATTCATTTCTCTAATTCTATAACCTAATGACTAATTTGTCAAGTTAAACACACTGTCCTAACGTGAATTAAAAAGGACAAAAGAGGCACTTGCTCCTCCCCATCTGCTGGCTGTTCCTGTCACGTCACTTGAGCATTGGTCCCTCGCCTAGGTGGCAGCAGGAGCTGGTTCTGGTCTCCAGCATCTCTCAGCACTCTCCAGCTGGCCTCACTGTGCCCCCACAGGTGCCAGCAGCAGAGGGTGACTCACTCTCTGTCAAGTGCTAGGTTCTTTGAGCACCAGGGGTGGTGACTGTTTTCTGCAATGTTATCTTTGCGCTCCCTCAGGATGCCCCGATTTGACCATCTCCCTATACCATCTCTGTTGAAATATCTAGTATGGTTTCTAATGACTGATACAAAGAGTGAAGGAGGACTCTTATTCTGTGTAGTCTGTATTGTTTGAAATTTTTCTGAGAATATACAGGTAGTCCCCAACTTATGATGGGGCTCCGTTCTGCTGATTCCGTCAAGTCGGTTCTGAGGTAAGTCGAATACCTCTTTTTTTTTAAAGTTTTCATTATTATTGCCTTTTATTATCAGTATCTTTATAAATATGATCTTTGTCTTTCGGGATTAGACACATTACATATAAACAGCTGAGAGTGAACATCTGAGAATGATAACATCAGCAAATTAAGCGCTGCAACACTGTATGTAGTACATATTACTGATGGCAAGATGTACCAAAAAACAAAAACAAACAGTCCTAAGTGCGGTTTGTCATAACTCGAATACATCAGAAGTTGGGGACTACCTGTATTCACATACCAGTCATATAACTTAAAACTTTTAAGAGACAGGTCAATACGTGCTGGTAAGGAAAAATGTCCACCACCTATTAACTGGAATAAAAAATGAACATAATGGTATACACAGTAAGGTCTCATTTTTATTAACTAAACATATGTACTTATCTTTGTGCAGCCACAGCAAAAGCCCGGGGAAACATGCTACACACTAACTTAACAGTTCTCATTCTCTGAAGAGTAGAATAAACTGGGGAGATGATCACTTTCCTCTTACTTCATACACTTCTGTAATTATGTTTTGTTCTTTTTACGCAAGTGTGTAGTATTTTTGGGCAAGTATGTGTATAAACGCCTAGGCTCTAACTCACACATAAAACCACTATCTTGGGGAACCCCAGAGGCATAACAGTGCTTCTCAACTGGGAAAATTTCTGCCCTTCCCTTCCAGGGGACATCTGGCAATGTCTGGAGACACCTATGGTTCTCACAACTAGGGTGGTGGTGGTGTTGCTAGTGGCATCTGGTGGATAGAGGCCAGGGATGCTACTAAACATCCTACAACGCACAGGGCAGCCCTTCACAACAGAGAATTGTCCAATATGTCAATAGCGCAACTACTGAGAAACGCTGCTCTACAACCTGACCACTGTCAGCATCCCTGTAGTCAGAGCAGAAATACTCCATGTCTAATGCTGCGGAGAGCAGATGTTTACCAGGAATTCTGTACGGGGCACCTGAGTGGGAAGCTTTGTTTTTAGGTTTGGAGGACCTCCTTTTCTTTCAAAAAGAAGAAGAAAAAAAAGGACTCAAATAGCTAACATACACATATGATTAAAACATACTCACAAAGTACAAAAAGGGATACGGTAAAAAAAAAAAGTCTCCTCTCCACCTCCATTCCCAGTCCCCCAGGTCCCTTCTGAAGAAGGCAATCACTGTCATCAGCTTCTTTTATGTTCTTCCAAAGGTATTCTAAGCACACAGAAGCATAGGTTTATATATAATCTCTTCCTCTCCCCCTTCTCCTCCTCTGGCCCCAAGTGGTAGCATACTATTTATACTGTTTTGTATCTTTTTTTTTCCACTTAAATATTATCAAGGAGATTATTCCATTCCAGCACATACAAATCTGTCTCATTCTTTTCAGCTAAACAGTACATAATATAGTCTATTGATAGCATAAAGTTGTTACCAATATTTTGCTACTACTGACAATGCTGCAAGAAGTAATTTTGCACACACAGGCCTTTGGGCAATACATTCAAGAAAAGCTGGAGAGTAAATTCCTAGCAGAATTGCTAGATCGTATGGTATATGCCTTTTAAATATTGATGGAAGATGATTTTGAGTAAACAATAACAAAAATATATTTGGGAGACTACTCAAGTGGCCAATTTAGATACTTTAATGACTGTGTCAATATTCCAGATGCACGCATAGCACATACCTTGTATCTGTTAATCATAAAAAAAAAGGTTGGTCACAGGAAGTACCTAGAAGCAAACAGTTCCTTTTATGACTGTTTTTAACCTTGAAAAGTTAGGGTAATCAAAACTATAAAGGGTAAAAAGACAGGCAATAACAAGTGTTAGCAAGGATGTGGAGAAATTAGAACCCTCATACGCTGCTGGTGGGAATATAAAATGGTACAGCCACTTTGAAAAATAGTCTGGCAGATCCTCAAAATGTTAAACATAGTTATACAACCCAGCAGTTTTACTCCTGGTATATACACCTAAAAAAGCTGAAAGCAATTGTCCACACAAAAACCTAATCACAAATGTTCATAGCAGCATTATTTGTAAGAGCCAAAAAGTGGAAACAACCTAAATGTTCACCAGCTGATGAATGGATAAACAAAACGTGGTGTATCCATACAATGGAATGTTCTTCAGCCATTAAAAAGGAATGAAGTACTGATACATGCTATAACATGGATGAACCTTGAAAACCTTATGCTAAGTGAAAGAAGCCAGTCACAAAAGACCACCTATTGTATTATTCCACTTATGTGAAATTTCCAGAAGATGCACGTTCATAGAGGTAGAAAGTAGATCAGTGATTGTGGAGGGGGTGGAGACCAGGAGTGACTGCTAGTGGGTGCTGGGTTTCTTTTGGTGACATGATAAAAATGTTCTGAAATTAACAATGGTTGCACAACTCTGAATACACTAAAAACCACTGAACTAACTGTACACTTTAAAAGGGTGAATTACATGGTATGTGAATTATATCTCAACAAAGCTGTCATTTTAAAAAAATGTATGGACATCACCTTGTATATTACAGCTACTTATTACAAGTTAGGCCCCTTTGGAAAGAGATGAACTCAAATTCAGGGTAACCCAAGGTGTTTTAGATGGAACAGAACTCACTAGTTTATACTTTATTTGTTAGAACCTGAAAATAAGTAAGTTGATCAACAGATGTCCCGAACAACTACCCTGCTCTGAATCATTTCCAGGTACTCTGGGGAATAAGGAGGCAGGAAAGGACAGTTCTCATTTTCACAAAACCTAAACCATTTTTAGGGAGAGAAGAAATCAAGTGAATGAAGCCATCAGCATACAATGGACTTTCAGAGACAGCAAAGAAAAGTATCTCCATGGAGAAACAAGATTTCTAGGTTGAGCTTTCCCCAATATTTAGCAGATACAGAAAATCCTGGTTTTCATAGGGGAAAAAAAAAAAAAAAAAAAAGAAATGAGTAAAAATGGATGAACAAAAAACCCCCCACAAAATTATGGGATCACAAAAATGACTCAAGTAACACTAAATGGCAAAGCCAGTTATGTTCCATGAGTGTTAATGACAGTCTAAGATGAACATGAAGTTGTCCTAACACTTAATGCCCACGACACTCTTCCTTGATTCAGCCAGGGTCATGTTCTGTGTGTCTATTTCCCACAGGGCCAGTGCAGAGCCTTGCAGAGAGTGAGAAGAATGAACGCGCTCCATCAGCATTAAGCACAAGCAGGGGAAAGGTCCTGCGACATTCAGGAGACTCTCCTCCTGCATGTCTGAAACAAGTGTCACATTATGCGAATCTATTTCTTGACTCCTACATATAGTTACCACTAACACTGTGGGCAATTCCACAATGGTAACAAACAAAAACTCCAAATATAAACAAGAGGGAGGCAGTGCAACATGGCGGTTAAGAGCACAGGCTCTGGAGTCAGACCTCGTTTGGGAATTATCAGCTATGTGACTTTTGGCAAGTGACTTCCTGTCTCTGAGTCTGTTTCCTCACCTGTACAATGGAATGCAACAACACAACAGTAGTAGCTAACAATGGGTTCTTGTGAGAATTAACATGACATTTCTTGAGGGTTTACTATTATGTGCCCTCAAAAAAATGCAAGCTAGCATTGTGAAGACTGAGAATGCTCACAAATCACAAAGCTCTAAAAGAGAGGTCACCTTTCCCATCTCCATTGTTTTGTCCTTCTTTGCAAAGACCTCTGCGCCTAACAGATCAGAGCTGACCAGACAAACAATAAACCTTTGCTGAACTCGTAGGGCTCGTTTTGGTTTGACTGAAATGCCATCTAATTATAAATTAGCTGTAGATTTCAGGTGCTTTTGATGAACTGAAAATGTTTATCTGATCAGTGGGAAACTACCTGGGTTTCTATCATGTAGATGATTATATATGGATACCTCACCTCTACAAAGTAAGAAGAATGCGATATTTTTCTCCTTCGACTTAAATATTATCCCTGTATATTGCATAAATGAGAGATTTCCCATATTTCCGTAAGAGTAATTCACTTGCTTTAATTCTTAAGCATAAGTGAACATGATATAAAAATATGTACTAATTACTTGTGAAGGATGTATTTAAAGCTTTTTAAATGTGTTTTTATTTGTAAGACACTACTTATTAAGAAATTGGCTATTATACCGTTCTAATCTGGTGGTAAAAGTATTCTTAAGAATCTGCAAGTACCTTAGATTTTCAAAACGGAATGAGAAAGAACATTGTACAACCACCCTGCAGTTCCTTTAGTGCAATACAACAAAACTCTGAAATTAAGAAAAAAAAACCTTTGCTGAAAGGTTCAATTAGTTAGGATACAGGTGTATGGCAGAACTGGAGGACAGTGAATAAAAACCACAACCGTGAAGGCTTTGGAGACTGTCTGCAGGAACGCTGGCTATACCTGGAGCCTTGTTATTTGATAAGCCCAAGAGATTGTTCTAAACTACATCTGAGAATGCAATTACCTCAAACCTAACTGTCTGCATTGTCATGTAAATTCACACTAGGAGTCTAAATAGGTTTTTGCTTACCATTTAGAGGGATTAAACAGCATCAGAGGAAGTTCAAATATATAAACTGAAACTGGTCAAAAAAGAATAGCCACATTTCAGAAAATATACCATTGGTGAGCTTTTCCATGATAAGGCTAATATTTTTTTAAAAGAAGGCACAGTGAATTTTAAGACATTGACATTTATAGCCGTAGCTCGACGCTTACTCTTGGAGGCCCAATTATCATCCCTGTCCATCTTGTAAGTGTCATGTCTTCGTCATCTTCTAGACCCCAGCTAACTGTGCCATCTCCTACTCCTTTCTGGCCTTCTTCGAGTTCTTCCAACAGTCGGAAATTGCGAGGGACTTTTACTCCTAAAATAAATGGAAAAAAATTCAAGATACTAGCAACTCCAGGGGAACTTGTAAGCCTAGAGCTACCTGCTAATTATTACTACCTGAGAATAAAGATGCTAACATGCAAAAAATTGCTGAAAGCTGTCGCACCACAAACTTGCTGCTTAAAAAGCTATCTGTATCAGTCAGCCCAACTGGTGGAAAGGGGGTACGTGTACTGTTACAAGGGAAATGACTACTAAACCAGAGCCGGATAAACTTAGACCCTCCGTCCCACACCCCAACAGCTTCGACAAACTTAACAAAGGGTTTACATTTCTAAATGTTGATTAATTTGGGTCCATTTGAGATGAAAACCACTGATATCAAGTGCTAACAAAAGTGCCTTGGAAGAGAACAGGCTACTGCTTTTGTTTTGCTATTAAGGGTGTGCGAATTTGTTGGAATGACTCTCAGGCTACCTTAAGAGGAACAGCCACCTTGGACGGCTTTTGTTTGTTTGATCAACTAAGAGTCAGCTAAAGGTTGTCAAAGGATAAAATTTACTTCAAGGATATCTTCTTAAAATACAGTTACTATTTCAATTATTAGGCCATAGTTTCTCTCTTAACTTGTGAAAAACCTACAAGATGATAGCTGGTTCTCTGATTTACTTGTTTCCAGAAATCCCAAAGTCTGGCCCATGGCTCATGAAAGCAACCATGCCTCACAGGGTCAAGCCATGGAACCTGAGTTCAGGCTGAGACCTGAGCCATTTCCAGTATCTACTAGAGAAAGCCTAGGCACTGGGGCCAACAGGGATGAGGCTGTGGGAGGCAAAGAAGACCAACTTTCGTCCTGTTCTGAGGCACAAAGCATGTCTCCTGGGGTCTCTCAACCTACCCTGACTGTCCCTCCCTCCTCCCCCCTTTCTCTGCCATTTAGACTATCTTCTCTGGAAAAAACTCAGGATCCAGGAGTTACGGGCTCCTTTTGCTTTAAATGCTGAACCCCAAATGGCCAGACTCTCAGAGGCAAGCAACACGAAGAAGACCCACTGGAGAGGGCCAAGACTACAGGAGGTATTCCCAGCGTACCTCAGTATTTCTCAAAGTGTGGAACACGGGGTCACCCTTAATTCAATCAGATCAAACATCTGAGCGCCCACTATATGTCAGGCACTTTTCTAGGCACCAGGGAGCAAGCAGTGAACAAAACAAACAATGCCCTCATGGAGCTTACATTCTAGTGGGAGGCATATAATCTATAAAATAAATGTGTAAGTTATATAATATGACAGATCATGGTGTTCTGGAGCAGAGAGTAGTAGGGAGTGGGAGGGGAGGAGATACCATTTTAACTAAGTTGATCAGGGAAAGCCTCACTGAAATCCAGTGTCATGAATAGACCTGAAGAAGGTGAGGGAGCATGACATAAGAGACGTCTGGGGGAAGAGTCTTCCAGGCACAGGGAACAGTGCGAAGGCTATTAAGAAGGACCTTGCCCAGAGTGTCAAAGAACAGGAAGGATACCAAATGAGCTAAAACCAAGCGAGCAAGATGGAAGAGGAATAGGAGATGAAGGACTCTGGCTGTTACTTGAGTGTGACATGAGAAGCCACTGGAGTATTGAAGAGAGGAGTGACATGATCTGACTTGTTTGTAATAGGATCCCTGTGACTGCGGTGTGAAGAACAGGGAGCAAGGGCAGAAGCAGTTAGAAGGCTATTACAATAATCCAGGCAAAAGAGAATTCTGTCTTGGACCAGGGTAATAGCAATGAAGGTGGTGAGAAGTGGCACAATTCTAGATATTTTGGAGGTCTGAGCTGACAAGGTTCACTGTCAGGTTGGCTATCAAGTGTGAGAGAAAAGGAGTCAACTACAGCTCCCAAATTTTTGGTCTGAGCAACTGCAAGGATGGAGTTGCCAGTGGTATGTCAGATGATTTTATGTGGTACATGAGTGAATACTTTATTTTACAGTCATGTATTTATTTTTAAGAGTAACTTATTCATGGCAAATGATATTACGCTACCTTCCCATTTACAACAATGGTAAAAAATTTCTTTTAAAATAAATTTAAGCAAAAGAATCAGTTGATTGAAGAAAAATTATTAAGTAAATAACAGCACAGATGGTGCTTGAAAGGAAACAATAAAAACCTAAAAGCACACTTGAATGACTTGTTTGGAAAACACTGGCATTTTTCAACCACTGAACAGCCAACTGGATTATTCAGCTATACTGGATCAAGACTCCTCTAGCAAACACAAAACTGAGGAATGTTTGTGACATGTAAGCAAAAAGCCAGCAACATGAGGATTTTTATAGAGAAAGTTAAATCTAAATCTTTAAAAATCCTAATTTGCCTTAGGGGGGAAAAACCCACTGTGCATTGCTATTGCTACTACTATTGGTAACTTTCTAATAAACCCATGGCCATCGAGTTGATTCCGACTCACAGCGACCTCATCGGACAGGGTAGAACTGCCCCACAGGGCTTCCAAGCCTGTACCCTTTACAGAAGCAGACCGTCACATCTTTCTCCCACAGAGCAGTTGGTGGGTTTGAACCTCCAACCTCTCAGTTAGCAGCCAAGCACTTAACCACTATGCCACCAGGGGTCCCTGGTAGCTTATTAATCTGCACTAAAAAGAATGAATACCAAAAAGAGTACAGAATCATACTGATAGGAAGCTGATGAATATCTGAGGTACCCATTTACAGCGACATCTTAAGAAGCTTATGAAAACTGGAAAGGATATAGATCAAGGTGTTAATGGCAGTTACTGCTAGGTGCAAGGGTTATGGGTGATTTTTTTTCCCTTTTCTGTATTTTCTAATTTCTTTTACCAAGATTCTACATTATTTGCATAACAAAACAGAACAACTTAGGAACTATGTCAACTACACCCTAGGCAATGTACCCCAAGGCCTTTGCCCTTGCTGGTCCCTCTTTTTCCAGCTATTCATAAGTCAGACTTCTTCACCTTCTTCAGGTCTTTGGTCATATGACACCTGACCTTGGTAAGGATCAAGGATTCTCCAAGAGTGGGAATCTCACTTAATGGTATTCCCTCAGTGACTAATTTTGAGTGGCCTATTTTTTAAAATTTTTTTTTACTGTACTTTAGATGAAGGTTTACAGCATGGTTTCTCATTAAACAGTCAGTACACATATTGTTCTATGACATTGGTTAACAACCCCACGACATGTCAACACTCTCCTTTCTTGACCTTTTTTTTTTTTTTTGGTGAAAATATACATAGCCAAAGATACACTATTTCAAAAATTTCTACATGTACAAACAATTCAGTGACATCGATTACGTTCTGTCAGTTGTGCTGCTATTCTCACTTTAGATGAAGGTTTACAGAACAAAATAGTTTCTCATTAAACAGTACACATATTGCACTATGACAATGGTTAACAGCCCCACTACATGTCAACACTGTCCTTACTCAACCTTGGGTTCCCTATCACCAGCTTTCCTGTCCCCTTCTGCCTTCTAGTCCTTGTCCCTGGACTGCTGTGCCTCATTATTCCCATTTTGTTTCATGGGGCTGCCCAATCCCCAGCTGAACAGTGAACCTCGGGAGTGACTTCACCACTGAGCCAAAAGGGTGTGCGGGGGCCATACTCTCAGGGTTTCTACAGTCTCTGTCAGGCCAGTAAATCTGGTCTTTTTTTGTGTGTTAGAATTTTGTTCTACATCCTTTTCCAGCCCTGTCCAGAACCCTCGTTGTGATCCTGGTCAGAGCAGTCACTGGTGGTAGCCGAGCACCATCTAGCTGTACTGGACTCAGTCCAGTGGAGGCCTTGGTAGCTGGGGTCCATTAGTTCTTTGGACTAATCTTTTCCTTGTATCCTGTTCTCTTCATTTTCCCTTGCTCCCGAAGGGGTGAGATCAGTGGAGTATCTTATACGGCTGCTCACAGGCTTTTAAGACCCCAGACGCTACCCACCAAGGTAGAATGCAGAACATTGTCTTTATAAACTGTGTTATGCCAACTGAGCTAGATGTTCCCCGAGATCATGGTCCCCACAGCCCTCCGCCCAGCAATTCAGTCCCTCAGGGAGTCTGGATGTGTCTGTGGAGCTTCCATGACGGCCTATGTTTTTTTAATGTTACTAAAACTTGCTCAGGCTGTTGAATGAACAATGGCAGTACAACTGCTTCTGCTGCTAAGCCCTTCATTACTGCCTGAAAGTTGTTGCATGTGTGACGTCTATTTTGAGTTGCTCTTTTTGGTAAGATAAAAAATGTGCTGCTTTCATGTGTCAGGTATTTAAAAGTCAGCAAGACTACTCCACTTGTAAACTTTTAGCAAAGAACATCCTTATGGCTGGAAATGTTACCTCTTCATTTAACAACCAGATCTGGATAGGAAATCCTAACACTCAAATATCCCAAACTCATTGCTGTTAGTTTCAAAACAGAAAGTGAATTCAAGTTATGTTTTTCTGATGTTTGATTTTTATTTGTGAAGCAGGGCAAAATATTGTATTAGGAATTAATCACATACTTCTGACACACATTTCCATTGGATTAGACATTCAACTACTGAAAAACAAAGTGTGCAAAACCCACATATACAAATGAACCAAAGAGCTAAGGAGGTCAGTTTAATTTATTTTAGGTTAGTATTGGAACAGTCATCTGAGTCAGAATCGACTCGACAGCAGTGAGTTTGGTATTTGGAACAGTTAACTAAACACAATAGAGGACCAAAGTTAGCTTTTTGTCGTTATCGCAAGGTTGGCATCATAGGATGATTTAATTTGATTCAAGTTGTAAAACAGGCATCAGAAATAGTTTAACCAATAAAAAAACTTTAGATTGGCTAATATGTATTAGGCGGTCTAGAAATATTCCAAGCAGGTGTTAGAAGATATATATAAATAGAATAATTACACTGGTTCTATAATAGCACTACAATAATTACAATAAGTATTTCTTTTGAATGGCAATTCTCAAACTTTTTTTGGTCTCAAGACCCCTTTACACTCTTAAAAGTTACTGAAGACCTCAAAGAG